ACATAATTACCAACAACTTTTGTATAAACAATTTTTTTGTATTACTTACCGTTTTCAAGTTATAAATTGCGCAGAGGTATGAAAAATCCAATAGAGCGGTTTTGGGCAGTTCAAGTACACATTTGCAGTGCACATTTCAATGTACGTTTTACTATTTTTTATATTTTTTCGTGATTGAAAAAGAAAAAAAAAGAAAAAAAAATAGTTTTATTTTTTTTCATGATTGAAAAAAAAATGGTAAAAACGTACATTGAAATGTGCACTGCAAATGTGTACTTGAACTGCCCAAAACCGCTCTATTGGATTTTTCATACCTCTGCGCAATTTATAACTTGAAAACGGTAAGTAATACAAAAAAAAATGTTTATACAAAAGTTGTTGGTAATTATGTACGAAACAACTTAGTCTTAGTCTTAGTCTTAGTAGTACGGCGGGCTGTTTCCGCAACTCGACACCTAGTGCCTATTTTGCGTGGGGGATTGGCATCAGTCCTGCCATCCCAGCTCCTCCAGAAAGCTCAGCAGTCCCCGAATGTTGCTGCAGGCCTCTGCTATTGTCTTCGGGCTTCCCATTAGAGAAGTCCTTTGTCTTGCAACGCCCCTGCACTCCAGTAGGACATGGGCGCTCGTCTCATCCGCCTCCAGGCAGGCTCTGCACAGAGGGCTGTCAGAAATACCTATATTACAAAGGTGTTTGTTAAAGTAGCCGTGACCCGTGAGTATACCCACGATTTGTTTCAGGGCTTGTCTAGGTAGTCTGATTAACTTACGTGTTAGTTGCAGGTTTACCTTAGGAACGGCTTCCCTGGCTTGCCTGCAGTCCGTGAGTTTTGACCAGTAATCGTCGTGTTGTCGTTGAGAGCGCTCCCTTATCCAGGTTCGCAGCTGCCGATAGGGTATGGGTATAATTGGCTCCGGACCAATGGCCGTCCTGCTAGACCCCTCCCTGGCTAAGCAGTCCGCCGCATCATTACCCCTTGAGCCGCTGTGTCCTTTAATCCACTGTAGGGTCAATCTATTGTCGTTCGCAATATTAGTCAACTTACTGTGGCATTCGTAAATTAAGCCTGATGTCATCATATTGTTGTCCAGTGCCTGTAGGACAGAAGCGCTGTCAGAGAGGATACGAAACAACTTTGCCATTTAAAGTTTTCTATTAAAATGATATTTTCAGGGTGAAAAAGTGAAAAAACACTTTTTTTGAGACTTTAGCGCCACCTACAATGCGCATTTTTTGTTGTACGAGATTGCAACAATGACATAAATTGTAGCACTCAACGCCCTCTACAATTATGGTAGAAAAAAATATTTCTAAAATGCATACAAAACAAGAAAAAAGCGTTTCAAAAAATTTTTGACAGTTTTTTTGAGTTTTTCAAAAAACGCCTACGAGTTGAACATGCCCATCGCCAAGGTGGCTTACTGACGTCATTTGGCAACAGAAAAAACAAGACTTACCCTTTAGGTTTTTTTTTCACCACTCAACCTACAGATTGACTGTACTATAAACCACGACAGATATAGATTTTCATACGAATTTTGCTTTCCGCTGCTCACATGTATTTGACCAGTACAGCAATTTTGATTTATCTCGAAGAAGGTTGTCAAAATAATGCTAGAATTTCAAGCATGTTTAAGAAAAGTATATAAACCGTGGCAGCCTTGCATGGCAAACGTCCGAGACTGCCTCGCGAGGCTGCTCGCTCAGTCAGTACCGGGCTGACAATAAAGCACTCCTTGCTACTTTATGTTAACCTAGTACTGTTCGAGCGAAAACAACCTGACTAGATGCCACCAGAATTTGCTGCTCATGCGCTTTAGGGCTGTGGCCACGTGTTAGTCTAGTGATATCGGGTGAGATACTTGTTCTCATTATATAGCAATAACAAACCGGGAAATTGCGAGTCTGACTCGCGTCCGAGGGTTATGTAAAAACTTAAAGATAAATCATCATCATTATCATCAGCCTTCCTAGGAGTCTTTACCTCTAGCGCGCCTTAGCGCACACGCCCTTCACCTGATTTGCGCCGGCCACCTTCATGGGGCCCCGCGCGGGTTGGGAACGATTGCATTGTTTTGCCGATTTCTCTGTTATTTTGTAAGAATACCCTACGCAAACTATATATATTTGCATTCTCCATAAAATTTCCTATAAGATAGTGTCCACACAATGCTTCATGTCTATAATCTATTTTAATTACGTTACGGTAAACTCGGGAAAGATAAAAAAAGGCGTTTAGATGGGTAAAATGGAGTATATTTTCAAAATTTTATTTCCAGATTTTTTGGTTATTTGCACATTCTATTATAACTTACCAAATAAACACATAAAATACTATACTCGCACAATTTAATTATACCTACAGCTCGTCACATTGCGCGCGCGCGCCGTTAATGTAAACAAACCGCGAAGTATAAACAGATCAAATTTCAAGTGGGTCGATAAGGATTTGGCCGGGCGTTTGAATGGGTGTAATTTATTACTCCATTAGCTCCGAGTGTTAAGATAACATTAGAACCAAGATTGTTTTGAATAACGTTTGTATATTTTTTAGGTTTAAGAACTTACAACGAGGCATTTAAAAATCGCCTACAAATCAGTCATCTCAGTATTATGTCTATAAAACGAAAAGTATTTTCAATTTTGATAAACAGTTTTTTTTATCAAAATGTACGCGAAATTTGCTTTAGAATAAACAAAAACTAATTACTAGTTCACATACAAGAAAATAATATAAAAAAATATTTCGTTCGTGTATTTGAATTTCGAACGACCGTTCCACCGCGCGGATTTTGTTTTTTTTTTATTTCTTCAAAAATACGAACTCAAGGGATTCTTTGTATTCGAAGTATTAATCATGAATAATTTATTCAATAATTAAAAATTAAAACATTACAATTATTATCGAAATTATCAAATGAAAACATAGGGTAAGTACCCCTAAGTTTTCGCTGATTTTTTTTGCGACCGCGTCTGCAAAAAAATTCTAAAAAAAAAAATTCACGGAGACCCGCAAACGAAACATCCAAATTGAGTAACTAAATGTATTTAACTTAACCAGGCATGGTGTTTTTTTCTTTAAAACCACTCAAAAGCACTTAAAATAGTCTGAATACACGGCATATTTTTTTTCAGACAAAAAACGGCGAACGACGAACTTTGACAGATAACAGTATAAATATTTCATATGGCACTTGTTTTTATGAATGGCTAGATAGCTAGCCCGTTTTTTCCTCTAAAAATTGATATAAGAATGAAGGTGCTAGCAAAACAAAATGGTTGTAATATTTGCTACAGATTAGGTGGGTACGCGCGAAACCGAAAGTCGGTCGCGCAGCGCAAATGTGAAAAATGACAGAAACCGAAAGTCGGTTTCGCGGCGCACGAGAGGTATAATAATAATACGCTTCCGACCTCGATTCGAATTATATTGATAAATCCTACTAATATTAAAATGTGTAAATTTGTATGTTTGTTATTCAAGCATGAAAAAACGGCTGAACGGATTTGGATTTCTCAAAAAACTGTTAACGCTAAAGAAGTCGCGGACGGCCGCTATTAGTTGGTTGGTAATAAGGCTTCTTCCTAGACTGTAAAATCGTTGTAGTAAATTTTGAATATTTCCCTGAGGGTTTAAAACGATAAATTCATATACTATAAAGTGTACAACAAAAATTACCATTGGTCCGTTTTGCAAATATCCAACAGAATAGGTTTACGTTTCTAATAACTCCAAACATCGAATGTGAATTTCGTAAATTATATTTTCATTGAGCATTGGCGATTAAATTCATCAATTCATACATTCGTTTTATTCTATCTTAATTCACGGTACCACTTTAGCAAATATTGATGTACGATAACAGTGGTCCATTAATTAAAAGATCGCTTAGATTGCGGTCTGTCTTTTTTTTATGTTATAGGGGGCATACGAGCAGACGGCTCACCTGATGGTAAGTGATCACCGTTGCCCATGGACACTTGCAACACCAGGAGCATCACAAATGCGATGCCGGCCTTTAAGGAAGGAGTACGCTCTTTTTTTGAAGGCTTTTGGGTCGTATCCGGTCCGGAAACACTGCTGGCGACAACATATTCCACAGTTTTGACGTACGTGGTAAAAAAATTTGTTGTTCTGTCTCCCGGTGTGGTTTTTATTGTCAGTGCTTATTATAAATTTTACAGATTAATGCTATGGAACGGTATGAAGCGGTCACGAGACAGCCGTTTGGCAACGTTGCCTTCACGTCAACGTGCACCGAGAGTCACGTCAAAGGTACCAGGTTAGCATAACCCACGTAGACGTAATCACTGTAAGAACACACAAGCGTTAGTCAATCTCACAACATTCTATCTCCTTTTGGCAACTTATAAACAGGTTGAGTGCAAATTGTTTTTTATTACTGTTTACAGAATATTAAATTAAATTTGGTAAATTTTACTTTGATAAAGTCAGTTTTTCATTACATTGAGAAGTCAAAACTATCTAAAATTACTTTGTAGAAGATCATCCAAGGCATTCTTGAAATTTTATTTGAAAATTTATTTATTTCCGAAAGTTACCTATGTATGTGTGTTTATGTCATGAGTGAGATGTTTTGATTGTGCAGTTGAATGTATTGCCGACCTACAAAATTTATCGGTCCCTTTCTTTATAAAGAAAACTTGGTGTTTAAAAAAGGATGAATATAAGCTCCGTCTGTTATTTATTGAAAGTCTTAACACTTACTTATTGTTTCATAACAATAGGAAGAGGACAGAGATATTATTAATGAAATAATTAACAGTGTATGCCATAGGCGTTAATATATAAGCGTAATATAATTAATAAACGTATAGCCAGAAGCATGCAAGAACTGCGATTTTGCCATTTTTCCCCAAAAATAATGTATCAAATAACAAATATAAAAGTTTTCATATTGGTATAGGTTTGACCTTAAGGCGCTTTAATCTCCTTGAATGGAAACTGTATATTCACCTACCTAAGCATTTCTGCATACCTCAATATCTTCTTTGTTCGGCAACAATGGAGCTTCTAAGATGTTTTTCAAGCAAAAGTCTTCATTATCCAGTTCGAAGTTGTATTTCGTGACTTCCATAATGCGTTGCCAGTGACGCGATTTCATAGCCTTGTTGGCCATCAGCTCCAAAAGAGGGCACATGTCGTTGAAATCGTCTATGGTCTTCTTTAACGCGAAGAATGCTGGCCATTCTTTTAAACTGAAATAGGAGAAGATAAAATAGTTGTTTCAAAGTAAATACAGATAAAATTTTACTAAGTTTTATGTTTTTGCACATAATATTACTGATATCATAAGAGAGAATGTAGATAACAAAGTATCACGGAAATGTGATGATAGGTCATATTTAGGTATTTGATTGAAACAGCTTACTTCTATGTATTAAGTTGTTCATCATATCAGCATATTTATGTCCCCGGGCCCAGACCCTCAACACTAGCTCGTTGCGAATTGATGTGTCATATCAAGCACGGATAATCTTGAGATAATAATTTATGGTTACATATCCTATCACAAAACACAGAAACCTCTTTCTGGGTTCTATGCATCTTATGATCGGGCATTGCGAATATTGCTTAACTTCTTCATTCGCAGACCGAACGCGATAACTACTGCGATATCGATCTCCTCATCAGAATATTCAATAGACTTTAGAGGTGGGTCGTCGACGTATTTTTCGTCGACGAAACGAAACCGTCCACTACCGTCCATCGACTAGTTGATCAACTAGTTGAATTCTTCGACTAGTTGACGTGATAACGGCAGGCTTTAAAGGGTTTATATCAACTACGCGGTGACTGGTCTGCGGTCGCGACGCAACGACGACGACGGGGTATTTATTTAGTATTCGCTTTACATTATAGTCATTTAAATGTTTAAAAAATAAATTACAAATTAAACTCATAACATAAACATTCAATTTAAACGAACTTTGCACTAAATTCGCATTCACGTGTCCCTTGACCTTGACCTCGCAACACACTTATTTCAAATTTCAATAAACAAAACTGCAACTACTTGAGGAAAACCATTATTATAAACCCGTTCATCCTGCACTGCATCGTTTAGCCAGATCCATCGACGTACTCTTTCACGCAATATAAAAATACTCTTACCTTTTCACTTTAACAACTCTAGTTTAAAAAATGAACAAATATCGACTCCCATAATAATATATAAACTGTGTAATAATTAAATCTCTTTGGGGCCTTCCAATTAAAATACTGATATATACAATTTACGCAAACAGCTTGTACATACTTTTCTGTCATTCTAAAAAGTCACATCGACGCTGGAGGGCTCTGTTGGTCAGCGTTTGTTGGGCTAACCCCTTTTCTTGTTTGACGCAGTGTGTAGAGTATATACTGAACTGTAAGAACCTAAAAAAACGTAAACAAGCTGAATAGTTGGTGTAAGTAAAGTAAATTCTCACATACCCCTTTGGTAGTTTGCGGCATCTGTTCTGGAATTCCATAAGTTCATTGTTGATCTCTTCTATATTCACCTCGCCCCAGGGTATGTCGTAGTAGCTGCTGACGCGGTCGATGACGTCATTGTACAGTTTATACAATTTCTGCAGTAAATTGAGCTCTTTCCTGATCTGCGCAAGTTCAGGATACTCGGTATGTGGTCTTCCGAATAACTCCTCACCGCTTTGGTACGTTTGAAGTTTACGCCACATGCCATCGAAGCGATTCTGGAGGTTTCAAGGGAAAAAAGAAAGAACAATCATTTTAAAGTAAGTAGTAAGTAATAGCTAGAAATTGAAATGTTTTTGATATTATTTACTTTGTAAAATTCAGTTTCAATCTTATATGTTGATGTGGTGAATAAAATCTTAACTTTTGGCTTTTAAGTTCACGTGTCTGTCTGTAGCTATTGTTATAATAAAAATCTTTCACACACCTGAAATAAGATTAGCCTGTCAGAGGCTTCTCTTGGACTCAGCCCTGCCTGCATTGGCCCGGCGTATCTGTATTCGTGGACGTATTCAGAGTTGTCTTCGCGGAACCTATTTAGCAATAAATTCAATTAAGTCGCATGTAAAAATAAATTTACTTGGCCTTTATGGGCTGGTGTGGTTATATATTTCTTCGCAATATGCTAGTTGGAACCTAAATAGATCGATTTCACTTCATAAAAGCAGAAGATTGCTGTAGATATTTAATTTAAAAAAATATTTTTAGTCTATATTTTTTAAACACTAAAAACGCTGCTCGCCACATCCGCCATGATTGTTACGTCTCTTGTTGTAGTAAACAACTAAATATCATTCGCGTGTTACTGTGGGTGGATTCTTTCGTCTGACTAAATTTATCTTAAAACACTTTTAATTATGGATGCTGGCTTTGTGAAAGCAGAAAGCACAAATCTGCCAAGAATAGACTCATTGATGGTTGGTGATTTTTTTGCACTAAACGCTGATTTCTGCTCTGCGGAGCAAAGAAACGACAAGGCATCTATGTAAGTACAGTGCATTTAGTATTACAATGGTGCCAATTCTGGCGTGATTCTCTAAATTTATAACTAAATTTAAGGTCAGTCTCAACATTTCATTCTGTATAGAGAAGGACAAGGATGCACTGTTGTCAAATTTAAGTTTAGCTTTAGAGAATTATGCCAGAATCGACATCAATGTAGTATTAAACATAAAACTGATACAACATATGAATAAGTGTAATAAAGTTGCGATTTCTTTCGGCACTTTAATCCACAACTTTCCTGGAGTCTTCAAGGATGTGTTTTTATGTTCTCGTACAATACAATAATGATAATTACTTTATTTTTCGTGGTATTTATTAGAAATCATGTTTTTTTAGTATAAACTCAGATAAGTTATTTTCTACGTGCTTACGAGTTTTTGTTTACTACAAGTTGACGTCACAGCATAGATAATCTATAGACTAAAATGGCCGACAGCATTTTTGTATGTCCATGAAAAGTCTATTTTAAAATAAAAGATTTGTAGCTTTCTAGGTCTCAAAAAAATACAATACATTCTTTGCCGGTCTAATAGAACATTTATTACCCATTTAAAACCATATTCCAAAAAGGTCAACTAGCCTATTGGATTTTACTTTCATTTAAAGAGAGCTACGACATAACGAATTTCCAGCTCGAATAAGAGCGCGTCATCTTGGGAAGTAACCTCTACCTTACAGAAGACCTTACATAGTGTAATAACATTGACTCTTTTTTTGTTTCAGCGATGAGTAAAGTTTTAGGTCTCCACGGGGATGTAGATGGGTAAGGGTAGGCCACGCGCAAATTATACGGTACCTACAGTATGTATAACTCAAATTTTTACAGGCTTTGGCGGCCGCTTACCATCAGGGGGCCGGGTTTAGTCGTTTACTACCCTCTTTATAAAAGAAAGACTGACGACAACCTGAAGTGGAAAATGGTAACTGGAAAAGTAAGCGGAAAATACCACTTGGAAGAAGCTCGACACGTTGGTTTAATCAGATCGGTACAGTTCACGGTGCTCTACACTCGGCGGCAGATCGAGATAGATGGCGTCAAGTAATTCGCAACAAATTCTTGCTGCAAGGAGGTTGTCACGACCCTCAGCATTGAGAAATGATTAAGATGGACTGGAGTTGTTCCATTCCTTTCTGGGGGCCTTTTTTTGTAAGCCTCTTCGAACTGCGGCTGCATCCTCAGCAGCTGCACTTGAGAAGCCAACGCGCGCGCCTGTAGCTGCTGCCAGGTGTATCGCAAACTTTTATAGGCAGCTTTTGGCTTACCATCAGGGGGACATATGTTCATTTACCTTTCTCTTTACATATAACCTATTTAAAATAAGTTGAACTGGAATTATCCTCTTGGCCTTCTATTGTTAAATTACCTGTCTAGATTGTTAAAAAGATCCTCTTCGAATTGCGGCTGCATCCTCAGCAGCTGCACGTGGGAAGCCAGAGCGCGTGCCTGCAGCTGTTGCCAGGTGTAGCGCAGGTTGTCGACTTGCTCCAAGTCTTCTTTACTCACCGTAAGCTCGTATCTAGTGATCACGTTGAATGCTTCCTGATCAGTCAAAAGAGACTAAGGTATTCAAAATTTGATAAAAGAAAAAAAATTGCTTACGAAATTTGGATTAGCATATTTGAGCGATGAAAATAGGATATTAGTGTAATTTATTTCTTCTTAACTATCGTTGCCTTATATTTTTAAATGAATTCTTTGGAATTTCTGGTCTAGTTAGAACTTTTTGTAGTTTGATTAGGATTTTAAATGGTAACTTGATCTCCTGCAAATTTTGAGAATTTACGCCTAAAATATTAGCTCTATTTACTACCAACACAAAATTACATTTAATTTTATATATAAAATGTGCATTATTTTTAAAATGTTATCTAAGGTTATTGTGTTGTGTGTTTTATCATTCTTTTTATTTATTTTTTCATTAAAGAAGATGACATTTATGAATTTAGGTTAATAGCTTTACTATCCATCTTCATTTACCTCAACTGGATCTATTTTCAGTTCCATATCAACCTCTTGTTCTCGAATCTTCTTAAGTGTCTCCATGATCATTCGGACGTCATCCAAGTCACGGATAGGACGCTCCAGTTTGCGTTCAAGATCATTCATTATAGCGTAAACATAGTCCATTTCGCGTTTGTACTTTTTTCGCATTGCTTGACTTAATCTGTGCATGCCATCTAACAACAAAAAGTAAGTTCTTCATATTTTTTTCAATTGAAAATACTGATAGTTTGCAGTAAAAATATGACGATTGTGATGTTTCCATCGACTTACAGCATACTGCAAATAGTTCAACTTTGTATTTGCAGCATAGGTTGCAAGAGCGACACGGAGCAAGACTAACATCAAGTAGATCAAAGAATTTTCCAAAACATAGCTACAGAACTAGAAAAATGCCATGTGATCTAAAATATGGACATACTTTTCAATTCTGTCGTCAATCCCAGTTTTAGTTTTTCAGTGGACACTGCCAGACAGTTGCCAATCACAAGAACATCAGGTTCGGTCCCTAATTTGGCCTCTAATTCGCTGTGTTTCTTTAGGGAAAGTTCGAAGTCATTTAAATTCCACGCTAACAATTGCCGTAATGTTTTCTCGCATTTCCAAAGGTAGTGGTACGGACGCCAACGTTTCACAAGATTGTTTAGTTCCTGTAATTACAATGGAATTATAAATACATACGCATTTATAAATCTAAAGAGTTTATTTTAGTGAAAATTCCTTTAGGTTTATAAACGTGGCATTAATGGTTAAAATTATAAATATCATAAACATACGCCTTTTCTTGTGTAATAACTACAAGGTGCCCTGAACGAGAGGATAGCCTTAATACCTGTAAATCTAATACAATGTTACGCTACATTGGAATACCTGTGTAAGATTTTGGCTACAAACCAGAAAGCATACAAGTACCAGGTTAATCTTTAGAATTTTTACTGATCTACTGCAAGTGTGCTTCAAAAATTTAAGCAGATAAATATGTACCTTAATTTTTATCAATGTTCTATCACTGTATTGGCGACTACCTGATGTTTCATCTTTCTATAAAAAATGTGTTCCTATACTTTTAAATAAGAAAACGATTTCCTAGTAATGATATACCTACTCACCGTTTTAATGTTCTGCGTACACGACGACAACAAGGATAAAGTCTTCACCACTTCTTTATTCTCCATGACGTGCGTGTAGAAGTTCTTTTGTTGGAAAGGGAACGAGGGTTTCTCCTCCGATTCGAGGCGATAGTGCTTCTTGCGCTTGATCTTGGCTGCTTCCATCACCTTCCCTTTCTGACCTCCGTGCTGTGTCGTTGATTGAACCTGTTCGTCAAGCTTCGTAACTACTTTGAGGAGCTGGTTCGGTTGGTTGTTCGCAATCTTCTTCCAGTTCACCTAGTATGGGAAACCGGGACGAATGGCCAGCGAGGAAATACACAAAGCACATCGAGTGCAAGCGTTTCGGGAGTGTGTGCGGACGATAACACGACAATTACACAGTGGTGATGACAAGCACAATACAATTGACGTCACGACAAAAATGGAAGAGGTGAAAAGAAAAGAAGAATGATTATTTTAATAATTTACTTATGAACATTAGAGCATTGTCAAAATAAGTCAATAATTTATTTACGCTTTAAAATATCGATTAAAAGTAAGTAAGTACCTATTGGTATAAAAGTATTGAAAAGTGAAAAAAAAATAATTTTTAATTGTAGTAAATAAGCTCATTAGTATTGACATCATGACTGTGGGTTGTAATTTTACGATTTATTCGTTAATACGACTAATACGATTACAATTACTTTCAATAACACCAATGATGCTAATTCTTTATTTATTGGATAATGTTAGGCTTACTTAATAATGAAGAGAAATATTGATAAATTTTAAACATAGTGAAACTTCGGAAATACCTGTTACTTAATAGTGAAGATCATGTTTAATGGAATTGTATTACACGTTCTTAGCACAAACTTATTGTATGTTATTATTTATTATGGCAAAAGTACAAGCAAATGTAACTGAGATGCCTAAATTTAAAACTATGAGAGAAGGTGAAATGATATGCAATAGACTGTACGTTTAAGTTTTGCGTTTGCGTTTAAGACTCAGTTTGATGAACCGAGGTACATGTGTAAGTCTAAGTCTAAGGCTAAAGTTATATTATAAAAAGCCTTTATTAATATTATTACTCGCATAGTTATTAATCATATTGAACAGACCTTAGGTAGACGAATTATGTAACATACTTAGTACGTAGGTACATAGCTATATACTTGGATATAATATGTACACAGCGATTTACTTGAACAGACCTAGTTTATAATATAAAGCTGAGGCCTTAGTACGAGTTTTTGACAGCTCCATAACGTATTGACGACATCGTATTTTTTTTTTATTTTGGAAACAAGCAGTCATATATTTTACAAAAGTAGCTTATGTTAAACACTTTTTATGAAATAGACCTAACATTACAGTAAAAAATTATATGATGAAATATTTATATCATATGTATATATATATACATATGGTATAAATATTTCATCATACAATTTTGTTTTTGCGTACTTGATCTTAATTTTTAATTTCAAGCCTCTCCTGAAAATTTTACAGTAAGTTTCCTTTAAATGTAGCAAGAGACATATTAATGAGATCCAATTCAGACAATTCCTCGTTGTACGTGTTGGAAATTTTCTATGGAAAAAGCTAGTTTGTTCTTACGTCCCATAGAGGTACTGCTTGATTTTCATAGAAACTTTGACGTTACGATAAGTAACGGAGCTGTCAAAAATTCGTGGTTGGGCCTCTGAACATGGCATCTATTGCGTGACCTTAGCCATGAACAATAATGTACCTTATAGCATAAAAACGGTTAAGCAATTCTACCTGTAACTGTCTATGATTCATGATCATGAGTTAATTAATATTTTTTATATACCCTGCTTATTTTTCCGCCTGTCCATTGCGCCACACCTTTTGATAATCCGGAGATATGCTTCCCCGCTACTATAAGCACCTCTTGGATTTCCTCGAGTGTAGGCTTCACCGAAACATTTGGAATCATCAACGTCGCTTGTAGTAGGAATATGGGTTTCTTTGAAGAATCTGGTTTTATAAAAGGTCCACGTTATTGCAAAATGCATGTAGCTAACAAAATAGATGGAAGAGAAGAAAGGTCACAAAAAATGGAGAGAATCTTTTTTTCCTTGACGATATTAAGCCGGTGGGCTCCTACGAAATTAGATGTGAATAAAGAGAACGAAGTGTGTACGAATCGTGCCTTATAGCACTCTACCCAATGCATGTCAGCGTGGAGATAGGTAACTGCCATGTAACTACTTAAATAGACTTTCTCTACGGCACTGTGGAATACTATTATAATTTATCAAATATCTAGAATTTAAATAAGATTTATATAGGTAATTAATTGTATTTTCTTCGGAATTTTTGGAACAACACCAAGTTTTTAATGGCAGTTCATTTAAAATTCACTGCGGTTTGGTGAGACGGCGGACCACGATGCATGCGCGTGGGTGCGCAAAATGCGGGAATCTCTTCTTTAAATGGAAAATAATGTAAACTTCTTTGAATTATTACTGGGAAGGACAGATATATCACATTTTTCATATTTATGATATTATAACAAAAAATATTTATACATATTAGTTTCAAAAATTCAATTTTATGAGGTTGAATATAACCGTGAAAATATTACAAAATAAAAACGTGTTCACACCGTACCGTAAATTAGTGTACGAAACTCTTCCTACTGAAATAACTTTTACGTACTTGTGTTCGACTTCCCAGTCCATATTTTGGTAGGGCAGTAAGCTTTTAGTGCCAAAGATTTTAAAGCAGAAAATTAATTAATGTCTGTTATGAGTGTACATACCATATAGCTATGTAAAATGTATATATATATATAAACTAGGTATAGTTTTGGATTGTGATTCATGTCTTTCAATATATGGGCACTTCACTTTTGCTAATGGCGCATTAATTCCTCCATGTTGACTTTCTTTTGTCAAAAAATCTAACCAGTATCACTATAGTGTTGATGTGAGGATTCAGAACAGAAAGATACTGACATTGAAATCTTTTCACCCATTTAGAAGTTAAGATGGATTAAAGAAACATACTTACAAACATACATGAATACTCTGTACATTTAACTCTTTTTTTGGCAGTTTTTAAAAACTATTTTGAGATGGAAACGTGGGATTTCACATTTCACCGAATACGTACTTCTGATTTCATTACATCAAAACATGTAACTGAGATTAATTACGATTCATTAAGTTTGTTTAATAAAATTACCTACTCCAGTATATATATATATCTGCGAACTGCAAGTATAATTTAAATTATTATGAAGATAATGTTTAACTAAATAATTAAATAATTCAGTCATCTTTTGTGTTATTTATATTTAATCGAATAACTTCATATTGACGTACCTACGTTGAAAAGAAATATTAAGACGTCGTGAAATGCATATCTATTTTAATCATTTAAAATTTGGGGTCACGGTTCAAATAAGTAGGTACGATACGCACCAGGTATGCGATTTGCCGGCACATACCGCATCTGTACCAGGAGACAAGAATACACAAGAAAGTCGTAGCTCGATAAAGTATACGTAATGCGCATGTCTCGCGCGAGATTACTATTACGCATGCGCGTCAGGCATGTCAATAAAATATCAGTTTTGGATGACGTCAAAATTTGAGCCATTAAGGTAGCAAGTAGGGTAGTTAACACCTGCTTTAAGTATGCTTTTATGTAATGTTAAGGCACACTACAAAATTCATATTAGTACACACACATATTAATTTTAACGATGAAAGTTCTCTTGGTAACCGGACAGGGTCGGACAATGTTGTTGAACGGGCGAGTACACAGATCCGTCCGCCCGAGTACCAGGCTCACATAAAGGAGAAGTAGTGTGTACTGAAATTGTACTTGCGCAAACTCAACCTTAACACCGTCCGATAAAGTCTTATTATATATTTACCGTTTTTATCGTGCTAAATCGGCTTTTGCACGAATAACGAAGGGATGGCACAGTTTGTACAGGGAATTTAATAATGATGATCTATAATTTTAACATAAATATTTATTGTTGTGATTTGGAAATCTATGATGATGATAACCATTGACGCTTATTTTCTCTTATCCGTGCGTTTGGCATGGTGAATATGAAATTATACTTACTGAATTTTAGTGAGACGGACTAAAGCCAAATTTGGATTTTCCTAGGTTCAGTATGTTCAAAAAAAAGGGGTCCTATGGCATATATTCCACAGTTTCTGAAGTTGCCATGTCAACAGATTCAGCAGAAATTATCGAAAAAGGGGGTTATTTTCCATGCGAGTACTGCATGGAATACGACCCCCTCATTATAGAAGACAGTGATATAACACTACCTTTCGGTGATGTTGTATTCTGTTAGTAAACAAGGTTCCAAAACTCTACGGAGCTGAGGATAAGGTCAGGGTAAGCAATACGTTAGTGTAAGCAAACAAAATCAGAAATGGCTGCTTACCATTATGTGGATTAAATGTTTGTTCACCTTCTTTTCACATAAAAAAAGTATGATATCATCAACACAATATGATATACAACGTGTAACAAAAATAACGCACAGTCTGAAAGTAGTTTGTTACTCAATTTCAGTAATTTTCATTTTTATATAATCAGTAGAAGCAGTGTTATCTCAATTTAGTTGCATTTTAAAGTACCTCTTATTACTAAGTATTATGTATCGTATTCTTTTAGTTATCTTATATATAAAATTCTCGTGTCACAATGTTAGTTACCATACTCCTCCGAAACGGCTTGACCCTTTTTTATGAAATTTTATATGCATAGTCAGTAGTTCTGAGAATCGGCTACTATCTATTTTTCATACCCCTAAGTGATAAGGGTTGTCATTTTTTTATAATGTGGCATTAAAAATATACAGCCCTAAATTTTCACCCTTATTCCACCAGCCCCTATTTTTATGGCGGTACGAAGTTCGCTGGGTCAGCTAGTAATTATTATAAAAATGTCAATATTTTATTCGGATTACATTTTAAATACTTTTCTTTATTGAAATGGATTCAGGAGCCAATTAAAACCAATTACTTTCAAGACGTACGTTATTTCTGTTACACGTTGTATATACAGTGTTGCCAGGTCTCCAGATTTTACAGGAGATCTCCTGTTTTTCTGAAATTTCTCCTGTTCTACTGTTTTTCTACATGAATCTCCTGTTTTTTTAGAATACGATTTTCTTTCTTAAATTGCATGTTGAGTTGCATTTTTCGTCATTAATAATGTAGATAACCTTAATAATTATAAAATAAATGTAATTGTCTAAAGCAAAAATAGCTTTGAGGGGCGGCAGAAGCCACAGAAACACATTCGTTACTGGTCTTTATCTTGATTTGATTTACCAATTCTGGGGGGGTGGGGGGGTGCAAACCGGAAAAAGTACACCTCTGCATCTACTGTTTTTCTTGTAGCTGTTTCCATACATCTACTGTTTTTTTCTATAACGCCTCCCGATCTTTAAAAATCGGACCTGGCAACACTGTGTATATACAATAATAATAATAGTGCACGCAAATGTATAATTAACATTAATTGTTTTTTTGTTTACTGTATGATATCATTCACGCGAGTTAATTTTGTTATTCCATAATAAATTAATACCGTCATCAATGATTTCAGGATCCGTATTGAACCGCTTGATTATGAGGTCAAGAGTCCTCCTGGTGACCCTGATCAGGACGTCCACCACCTTCCTACTATAGTACCGTCTCATTTCATATACCGCATTTTTCACCATTTCCTGAAAAAATAATAGGTTTGTGGTGGTATCGAAGTGCAGCTTGGGACTGATTGCATTAATACATTGTTAACTAAGGGAGCAAAGAACCATTTTAAAGGCTAGAGCGTTTTCTTAATCCTGAGCTCAGCGAGTGATTCGAATTACGTCACTTGAGATTTAAAATAGTGTTGCTCCCGAGGTGGACACTCTACTTTTTATGAGAAAATAAGTATAAGTAAAATAAAATTACGAATATGTAAGAAAAGAACGTTTATTTATTTATATAGGAGAACAACAAGACAATCTTGGAAATAGGTCTAAAAACACATTTTCTAAAAAGATTTCAGCTTTCTTGCATTTTTTCGAAGAATGAAATTTTCATCATATTATGCTTTTGTATATTATTACTGTTCGCGGGATTTTGTAGGTAAAATACTTTGTATCACATTTTAAGCATACTTTCATTTTCATTACTTGAGGAAGATACACTTTTTTATAAATCCAAATAAATACGAATTTTATTTATCAAATAATGGACGAAGGCGGAATGTATTTCGTTCGTTTGTTTTTTATCACAGCTTTCTTTTTTATTCGGCAAATTGCGATTTACACTTGAGCTAGTTCATAAAATTTTCGTGATTGATCTCTTTGGGGTTTTTTTAGCGTGATAAGGATATTGTGAATTAAAAGTGGCGTAAGTACAAAACTAACAACAAAGACAACCGTCTGCGCAACTGAAGAATTAATGGAATCTTTTTAAATTTACGCTATCCTGGTCAAGCGGACGTGAAAAATTTATTGTAGTGTTGATTACCTGACAGAACACATTCACATTACACATTCTTATTTAGGATAAAGGAAGATTTATAAAATAGGAAGACGATGGCTGCATGATAAATTCTTCACACGTCACCTTGCCTTTGCCTTCCGAAAAAGGGAATTTATACATAAAAAAAATCTTTGGTGATTGGAGTTTTTACTATCAATATCTACATTCCTAATTCAAATCACTTTTAGTCCCTAAGGATTAAAACGCTATTTTTGTCCCTGTAAACAGAGAACAAACGACTTCTTTTCGAATAGATGTGAAAAAAAAAACAACTTGGGTTCTGCTAAGTTTTTTTGTTCCTACTGCTGATGAGTTTTTCGCGCCCATTCTTCCCATCAGCTTAAAGATGTCATGAAAAAATATTAGTCGATTCAAAAGAGCTCTCAATATTTGAATTTATATTAATTTAACGTTTATGAGTAGGTACGGCTGCAATTGACTTAGCATTAGATTACCTGCATGCTTTTGGACAGTCCGCCCGCTGGCGTGGACAGCAGTTTATGTGGATTTTCGAAGCATTCCCATACGGCCGACCAGTCCTGTTGGCCGCTCGACGTGGAGTCCGCGGGTGTAGACGCGGGACCGCTGCCTTCTTGAGGATCATCTAGAAAATTCATAAAATCAAGGAATTATTTATGGCGGAAATTATTTATACGGAATTATTATTGAAAAAAGCGGAAGCGACACACGCTGGACTACCTGATAAAAATATTAAAACCTTAAAACTGACTGCAGCGCCAAGAGACGGATAGAGTCACATACCTAGATTGAAGTAGACGCCGCATGTAATTCTAATTGTATAGAAACCGAGCGTGTTAGATTTTGAGTAAACACGAGAACAAATAGGTGGGGAAAAAGCTTGGACCCCGGTCACCTATTTGAATTATAATTTTTTTTCGAGATAAATCAAAATTGCTGTACTCGTCTCATACATGCGAGCAGCGGTCGGGCAAAGTTGTATGAAAATCCATATCTGCCGAGTTTAGGCAACCAAAAAAATTACATAGTAAACTCATATCTGTCGTGTACATATAGCAACGACGCCTGACGCGGCCAGGAGTAACCATAGTGACACAATGCTACTGAAATCATTCTGCCACTTTTTTGCGGAGGGAGAAATATGCACACAAATGCAGTCCAACATACTTCCGCAAAAAACCTAAATATGAATGTAATTACGGCACGTACACATAAAAACACACAAAATTTTGCATAAATGAAACTTAAGATTTTTTATTAACAGATCTGAAATTTGTACTGGCAAGTCGATTGTTATGTGGAAAAAAGTCCGAGGTTTAAATTTCTATTAAATAATATTGATTTTCCGTTTAAAAGTGATTACATAGAAATAACCCCATTTACATAGAAGAATGATGATATTAAATGAAGCAAGGATAGGAGCGCAGTTTATGAGGAATAAGTAAATATATATTGTATTTTAAGCTAAGTAGAAATAAGATGCGTGGAGCATAAACAGAATAATAAGTAAAATGTAAGTAAAAATTATATATGTATAAATAAGGACCAAGAAAATGTAAGTAGTGTAAATAGAACAAAAGTAAAATGTATAAATAAAGACAAAGAAAAAGTAAATAAAATAAATAAGGACTAAGAAAATTACGAGGATAAAATAAATAGAGACATATGGGAAATAAATACCTATGTACATAAATAGGATAAAAATAATCTGTGAACAAACAAGAGAACTAGGAATTAGTAATTTAAGTAAAGAATGGATCTCAAAATGAATGTAAGAAAAGAAAGCAACTAATTTGTATAAAATAGAAAAATATATATAATAATTTTACCGACCGACGTTTTGTCACCCACGAATCCCCTTCATCTATCAATACCCACTATCACCCACCAATTCCCCATATCAACCATCAATCCCCACTATCACCCACCAATACTTTATTATCTACCATCAATCCCCACTATCACCCTCCAATCCCTTATTATCACCCACTTATCCTCTTATCAGCCTCAAATCCAATTTCACCCTCCAATCCCTTTTTCACCTACCAATCTCCTGTGCTCATTTAGTTTAACAACTTTCTGATGTTGTTACTCCTCCTTTCTCACTCTAACCCACAGCGCCGATTAGATTAGTGTGATTCTACCAAAATTAAAAAAAAAAATGTAAAGAATACGCACGGCGCCATGTATGGCAGCGTGCGGTAATCTTACGTCTATGCATTAACCTCCGTTAATGCATTTTTTGTGCCAGAGTGTTGAAAAATATATTACCTACTTACCGTCGTTAATGAGAAATTCGAAATCAGGATTAACTTCTGTGGGTCTTATTTGTTGCGCAGCTTTCTTGACTAGATCTAACACTTCTTCGACAGCTTCTTCAACCATAAGACTCTTGCGGTTCAGTTCCACACAAGCATTTCTTTCGAAACAGTAAAATAAATTAGATTAGTATGTATTTGTATGTCAATCGACGAAAAGGGACAATAAGTGGCACATTTTTACTTTAGGTTTTAATTTTCTTAAATTGTAAACATTATTTTAGATTTATTATAGCTTAGATATACTGTATTAATTTATTTAAGATTAACAATTAAGTAAGTATGTTTACAAGTATTTACCTACAGCCACTTTCCACATTCTCCATGAATTCATCTACTCTCCAAGGCGTTTCTTCTGAAAAGTCAATATGAAATTACATTTTTTTTAATTGTCACTTAATTTAATCGAAATAATTAAGTTACTAACACAAATAATAAAAATGGCAATTTATTTAAAAGAACTCTAATGTCGAAGTTCTACAATTATCCAAAGTCACTGTTAACTAGCAGCAAATTTTAATGACAGAACTTAAATTAACGACTTCTTTTTCAATTCTCAATTAATTTTACAAGGAACGGAAGACTAATTTAAATTCCACCTTTGACATTTGTACAAGAGAAGTAAAACTTGCCTGGTAACATAATCAAGGTAACATGCTGCATGCCGGAGAGAACGTAGATGATCCTGTTGTTGTAAATGTCATGAACTCTCGTCACCAACACGTCAAAGCATTTGATGGCGTCGTTCGCCCTGTCAATGAACTCCTTCCAGTCACCACTGGTCCAAGTAACGTGGCGAAGGCCAGAAAGATGGGAAGAGAGGCGGTGTTACTTATACATTAAGTATTTGCACAAGAGTAGAGAAATACCTGGCAACGCAATCAAGGTAACATCCTGCATGCCGGAGAGTACGTAGATGATCCTGTTGGTGTAAATGTCGTGGACTCTCGTCACCAACACGTCGAAACATTTGATGGCGTCGTTTGCCCGGTCAATGAACGCTTGCCAGTCACCACTGGTCCAAGTAACGTGGCGGAGACCAGGAAGTAATAGGGAAGAGAGACGGACCACTTGAGGCAGAAAAAGAGGACGAACTTCGAGCTTGACGCGGCGCACGGTGCAGAGGTAGTCCCGTAGAAGGAACTAACAAAATAGCAAATAAAATACATGTAAGAAATTTATTCCGATTACGTAAAACAGCGTGGGGATTTTCATCAAAATCAGTTAATATTGTTTTTAAAAACTACTGTATTTAGATAACAAACAATATAAGTGTATAGTATAATGAATCTAAAAAAAAGATTATCCATCATGCATTTCTTCTTTAATTGCCTTCTTTACATTTGAACTACGGTTTCCTTTCAAGTTTGGCGCGTTATACATTCTCGGCGAGAGATCACGGTGTAATGTTTTATCGAGATCGAGCGTTGACGAAAGGTATATAATATAGACAAATAATTCCTCCTTCCTCGCGTAGTTTTGTCGATTATATCGAGCCGGCCTTTCTGCACGATCGAGATGAAAATTGTAATTGAGGAGCTTGCAAACAAAACGGTATAATTACATAGAATTAAATTTTACAGGAGGTGTATAAAACTGAATGAAATACCTACAGTGTGGATTTCGCATGTTTTTTAATTTATAAATTAAAAAACATGCGAAATCCACACTGTAGGTATTTCATTCACTGTTTTAGGTAGTTATAATTTGAAAATTATTTGAAATTCAAATTCAACAGCCCCGAAACCACCGGACTGTAAAAAAATAGACCAGATGAGTAGTTACCATTTTGTTCGCCAGCTCCTCAATTAACATATGAGTCCATGAAGACCCAATCGTACCTGTAAAGAGTCGTTGATTAGCGTGAAGTAGTTCTTCTTTGCGTACAGTGAATTGTAGATGATCGGCAGTTCCAGCCCCATCTTGACGAGGCAGTCTAATTCGATTTACAGCAGTCGGATAGTGTGGTAGAGGTTCATGGTGATGCGACCGCCATCGTATATCTTCAGCATCATGTTGTTCAGGCTGTCGCTGTCGTTCTCGGGCTAGTTCAAGTCAAGGTTCTACAAGATCAGGCCCATTAGTACCTGTAAAGAGTCGTTAATCAGCGTGAAGTAGTTCTTCTTCGCGTACAGCGAGTGGCAGACGATCGGTAGTTCTAGTCCCATCTTGATGAGGCAATCAGACTCGCGTAGCAGCAGTCGAATAGTATGGTCCAGATTCACGGTGATGCGACCGCCCTCGTCTATCTTCAGCAACGTGTTGTTTAGGCTATCGTCCACATCCCATAGCTGTAGAACAAAATCCAAAGCTTAGATAATATCAAGATGGCCGTAGTCACAGAAGATCAAAATAGATAACGCAAAAATAGGCAGTTCACGTACTAAAAATATGTCATATAATGTATTTGTTCTTTACAAACTTAAGTAAGTAGGTATTTTTGGAGCGACTTTAACAGGAATGATGTCGGGGTAATGTAAACGAAATTATTGCTTTAATCCGTCAGTTAGTTAAACATAAAATAATAGACACTTCTTATTTCTTTTGTGATTCACCAAAAAATTTACAAAGATAAAGCACATCAAAGTTTGGTAGCGGGGCCTTGTGACGTCACGTCTAAGCAAAAATTGTACCAAGACAATGCAATATTTCAAATCAATATGTATCTCTGTAATGTTTTAATTATATAAAAAAAGAAAACAACGCGTCCATTTTTGACAATCTACCTGAAAGACGAAAAAATCAAGTCAGTCACATCCCTATTAGGGTGAAGATTCTCAATTTGACTATGATTCGACTATATAATTACCACTTTCACATTTTCTCGATGGCCGCACAATAAGTAACGTTTTCTCCCTTTTTAAAGAGCTATCAATTTCATGGAGGTATTGCTTAGTCTATTCCTCTTTGTATATATACGAGTAATGTTAGTATTACGTTCTGGTTTATCCAGATCCTTTTTAGGAGACGACCTGGGAGCGGGTGTTGGTATACTTGCACGTGACGTCACAGTACCGGGTACTCTCAGTCCATTTTCTATGTGTAAAATATAAAACTAACTTTCTTGACGGCCCACATGGGATCCTCGTAGGAGACTACTAGAGAGCGGGTGTGGAATTATTTGCGTGTTACGTCACCGGCTGCCGGCAAAGAGCGCAGCATCGGGTTCTCTCAGTCCATTTTCTATGTGTATAATATAATACTAACTTTCTGGTTCATCCAGACGGCCCACATGGTTTCCTCGTAGGAGACTACCAGGAAGAGGGTATTTGCGCTTAACGTCGCCGCCTGCCGGCAACGAGCGCAACATCGGGTTCTCTCAGTCAACTCTCTATGTGTATAGATAAACTCTAACGTTCCAGGTCATCCAGACGGCCCGCATGGTCTCCTCGTACGAGACAACCAGGAAGCGGATGTTGCAGTACTTACGCGTGACTTCACCCGCCGCCGGCACCTAGCGCAGCACCGGGTGATGATGATTCCTAAGGCTTTTCACTATGGGTATAGATAATACTAACGTTCTGGTTCATCCTGATGGCATGCATGGTCTCTTCGTACGAGACGACCAGGGAGCGGGTGCTGGAGTAGTTGCGCACGCGATGACGATGATTGCTAAGTCTTTTCTCTATTTGTATAGATAATACTAACATTCTGGTTCATCCAGACGGCCCGCATGGTGTCCTCGTATGAGACGACCAGGGAGCGGGTGTTGGAGTACTTTCGCGTGACGTCACCGGCCGCCGGCAAAGAGCGCAGTACCGGGTGCGCGCACACGTTCTCTACGGTCTCAGTCATATTGTGCATCAGACATCGCGACCATTTTATACGCCCTGATGAAGAGTGAAGATAATAAGTAATCATTTGAATGATAAAATTAATTCAGGCCAAGTCACAATACTTTAAAAAAGTTTAACAGTCCATTCAATATAAAATAGGTATGTTACTACGTATGCAATACTGATGAGAAATAAATATCGTTAAAAATATTGTTGGTACCCACTTAATCTGCCCCAGATTCTCACGAGTACAAATGAAATTCGTCAAGCTTTTTTAAATTTTTTCAGTAATATATAAGTCAATGTACCTAGACTTATTTACATGGTCCCTCGGGATGTGAAAGATGACTTTATGTTTTAACAAAGTTTTGTTAATAGAATTTTAATTAACGTTGACGATTTGTATTAGCTACCGAGTCAATAACTCGTCATAATGTTATATCAGAAAAAAGTGCAAACAAACGTAGCACGAAGACTCCTAGCCTATTTTATTATTATACTTGCAGCAGATAATGCGAATGCGCAATTAGTGAGTTAACGTGGAGACACTGTTTTCTATCAGAACCTTTGCGTGAATTTGTGACAAAATTAAATGCTGATTGCATCATTTGTATTCCAAATCATACTACGAAATTAATATAACAGGTCCAATTCATCATTGTTTTTGGTTATCATACAAATTTTTCCAATTCTGGATTCGACTAGTTCATTAATTGTATTGATAAAATTCTCACCAGCAACTGGCGAATAGTTCTTCAATAGTGGTGGATCTTCCCTCTGCCTCTTGAACATCTTCGTTATCTTGTCCACTTCCTTCTCACAGTACTTTAGGACACGATCGTATTTCTCACTTAGTTTGGTTATTTGGATTTTTTGGCTCACCTGAAACAATCGCGAAAGCTTTAATTACTTACTTATATAAGAAAGCACCCAGTTACAACTGTGTAACTTTCATATTTTTAACTAGTTTGTGCCAATAAAAACCTTTCATGCCCTATTAAAGAATTCTTTATTTTTGCAACGAAAAATAGCCGAATACTTCCTACAAGGTCTGCCCCAACTTTATATCGAAATTCATCAATATTGGTTAAGCAGCTTAGGCGTGAAAACGTAAAAACAGTCAGACAGACAGATTTTTAATTGGCAGTTCTTTCGCTTTTCGCTTATGATGTTAGTGTGGATAATATGTATGAGTATGCAAGTTAAATAAGTACCTTTGCTATATTACCTACTTTGTTATTGTTTGAGAAGACGAATTTATTTTTAGGTTCTACGAAGGAAGTGTTTCCGGTGAGGAACAATGAAATTGCTCTAGATAAATAAATTTGGGGACAGTAAATAAATAATAGCATATAACATTTCTTAGAAAGTTTGGTATCAGGTCAAAAGGGTCGGATTAATGCTCTTGCCATATAGACAGCGAACTAAAAGCAATGCTCTTTTTTCTGTGAGTCCGTATGAGACCAAACGAATTAAGTCTGATGTGCAGTAGTTAATTCGTTAGGTCTGCGAGCATGAAAGTTAAGCACTTTTGCAAGGGCCGGTTAGGCTGCCAAAATTTTATTATCTCGAGCTTCTTTGTGCTCGGAAGACACGTCAAGCCGTTGGCACCGACTGCATCTGCAGTCGTTAGCATTCATCAATCTACTGATTGTGGCCGATGATCTACTATCATAGGTCATTTCTTCTATTCAATCCATAGGGAAGACACGTTCTGCGGCATTGTAATATATCTGGAAGGTTGCAATTATGATGATAATGAACATAGAAATGTGAAGTCGGAAGGATGTGTCTTCCGACTTCACATACCTTATCGAACAAGACTTTAAAATGCATTAATGAGACAAAATATTAGGAGGCTTTTTCCAGGAAAACTAAAGAAAAAGTACCTAATGTTTGTTTTTGCTATGGGTGCCTACTGTGACGCCTTCACCTCGGTTTAGTTTTTGCTCAACATTTTGTTTCACAGACTGATTGGGCATAACAGATTGATACCGAGAATAATAATAAAATTATGTGTATTTTTTATAAAACCAACAAGAAAGAGACGACAGCGATTTAAATAGGATTAAGCCGTAATTTAAATAATATATATGATACAGGTGGCCGGCCCATAATGTACGCAGTACCTTTTCAAATCTGGTGAGGAACTTGATGCCCTGTGGCGTTTCCCACACGCTGGAGAAGTTCATCTCTATGGTGTTCCCTATGGACTCCCTGAGGGCGTCGGTCTTTCCTTCGAAGGTCTCGTAGTCTTTGTCGAACTCGCCATTTCTGTAGTCGAGGAAGTCGTATTGCGCACTGATCACCGCTTTTTTGGCTTCCTCGAAAGTTTGCATAGCCTCTTCCAAATCTGACCACCGAACAAAAGCATAATCGAGGTCATTGTGATGTCCACAACCTCAATTTTAGAATTAAGTTAATACTGACTAAAGTTTACTGGAAAGTATTTATACAGAAACTTAAATACGCTCTTTTCTTTAATATCTAGTCAATGACTTGCATCGAACGAAACTTTCATTACTGTTTTTTTTTATTTAACAGACAATATCAATGTATCTGCCTGCCTACACAATACGTTTTCAACTGCATTTTTCTTTTATTTATGCGAGAAACAAGAAATAAGCGACAGTGTCGCGCGGCAAACGTTTACTGTCGCAGAGCTTATTACACGATGTAGGGTTGTGTTTGTGTACTACATGTTTTAGAACTTATTATTCTGTTTTTAATGTTAAAAGAATGGAAAACTAGCGTTAATGTCGCCTGATGGAAAGCGGCCAATATAACCAATAGACTTGCGATACAACACTATTTTTGCATGTGGCCTACCCTGACCTCCTGAAACGTATACACGGAAAACCCTTCCCGACTCGTGGAATAAATAGGTTGTACGCTTCTGGTATGTGGAGACTACTTCATCAAACAGTAGCAATAACTCAAGCCAAACACCTATATCAATGTAATTTACAACAATTAATTTTGCCAAATTAGAGTGCCTGATCATTATGCCAAATATAATATAATCCTATATACTATTCATTTAAGTCCAGGTCGCAAATATAAAAAAAACTCATATCGTTCCTCCCAATCCCAAAGATAAGCCTTGGGTTTGGGGCAATAAAATTGACAATGTGATAAGCTAAGTAAAGTAACTTTTCCAAGTATGAAATGAAAGAGAAAGCAGGGCTGTGTGACACCATCGTATCCGACAATAGGACTATTTAAAATAATCTAAAAAAATGTAGGTGGTACACGAGCTTCAGAAAAAGAAATACATAAGTAAGTAAGTATTTTAAATTAAGTTTAAATTCTATATTTGAAAATTAAGATAAATGCTGTTTTTATAAGTCTTACCTTCCCCGAGTAATAGACCCTCCATGCGTTTCTCGAAGAGGTGACTGTAGTCGTCCATGATGTCGAACATAGCGATTATCTTAGTCAGCCTCCTACAGAACGTGTCAAACTTGCCGAACACGTAGTTCTCGGAGAAACTGAACTGCTCCGTGTTGGGAAGGAATTGCTGGTTTTTAACGAATAAATAGGTTTCCCTGAAAAAAGAAGTCGGAGTTGTTCCCAAGAAACCGATCGAAAAGCTTAGCTGTTTGTTATTGCTAAGTTATATGATTGTTAATGACGAATTTTAAAGCGATGTTGTTGGTAGTACTATTTTTAGGTCGCAAGATTGATATGTTCTTAAAGTATTTTTTTGCTTTAATCCGTGCTGATTAAAAAGTAATTAAGGTAAACTGACTATAGTCACCCAGGTACGCACGAGTGCAATAGACTGATGAAAAATTATCGAGAATTTAATCAAAGAACACATTTTACGACATCCTAATAAGAAATAATAATTACTTGGGTACTTATGCTAAATGTTCAATATTGTTGAATAGTTAACCTACATTAAAGTTGTTAGAATTAATAACCAACTTACCCCATTACGAAGATATAAGCAGGGGGTATTAATTATTAATTGGAAAAAACGTAGACAATTTATTAGGAAATTAATAATCATATATATCAAAATCAGTGCAACCTCTGCCATTCCAAGATGACAGCTGAAGTTGACCCATGTCCTCAAGTTGACCAGTACCCTTAGAACGAACCAATATCGAATTCGAATAGTTTGCGAGTACGAATTGTCATTGTCACACACATGCTACATAAAACACTAACGTCAATAGGGATGATGACTAATTTTTTTTTCGTTTATCGGGTAGATCATCAAAAAGTATTGGACACGTATTTTTTCTTTTTTCACATATTATAAACATTGCAGAGATATATTGATTTGAAAAGACGCATGACGTCACGTTTGAGTACACTTTTAAGCGAAAATTCACTAAAGAGTGACGTCACGAGCCACTACTCCCAAACTTTGACGCGCTATAACTTTGTCATTTTTTGGTTGATTGCCCAAAGAAAACACGTATTTTTTCTTCATCCATTATTTTTTGATCATCTAACTGACGGACTTAATAGAATTTCGTTTACTGTACCCCGTCATCGCCCCTATTGTTCTCAACTTTATTTTATGTGATCCTTTGATACCTGTAAGTTTTATTCAAATTGATGCAGTGTATTAAACGTTCTCTGACGAGTGACCGCTCCTGTGACCAGATGGTTTCCTTGAAACGGCACGTAATGTACTGCTTGCATGTTTCTATCATTTGGTTCGTGATCTGCATAGAGTAATGGTTAATGGTGACGTAATAATGGTAAATGGTTACGTGTAGTAACATAATCTAAACTATTCTTGTCTTTTGTATCATCGTCAGGCCTAAAACATCTTCTCTGATGGGACTCTTGTGTCCAATTCAATATATACAGAATCACTAGCTGACCCAGCGAACTTCGTACCGCCCTAAAAAATAGGGGTTGTCCAGCGGACAAAATTGTGAATCTAAACCATTCTCAGATCCCCTTGAACACACACAAAAAATTTCATCAAAATCGGTCCAGTCGTTTAAGAGAAGTTCAGTGACATACACACTCACTGAAGAATTATATATATAAAGATATAGTCAGAACAGGTTTTAATCCACTAATAAAGCATAGAGCTGGTAGATATGTGTTGATTTAAGACTGTAAATGTAGCGGGCACTTACTGCTAAAATGCCTTCTGGAGCACGCATGAGCTAAAATAAACATAGGAAATTGACTAAGCATTTCCTGTCCATAAAGAAAAACCGGGTAGTGAGTGCGAGAGTGAGCAAGCTACCGTGATGCCTATATATTTTATAAATATTTGCTGAACCACCGCTTTCTCTGTTTTCTAGAGACTAGCCAATTTCATGCGATTGTCTCTCGTCCATTCTCTATGTCTTTGGTTATAACACTTTTTAGATCACCATCGATGACTAGTCAAGGCGCCAAACGGCCTCAACTCATAATAGTCTTTTTGCCTGTTTTAATTTTATTAACGGCGAAGATAAATTACAAAACGCAGGAGAAGAAATTAAGTTATAATTTTCATTATTTTAAAGCATGTAACTGCTTGATGTTTAAATCTAAAGAAAATATAACTCTTCATATTCTATTCATTTGACATTGTGGGTTATCTATAATGCGAAGATATAGCGCTGCCTTGCAGCTTAAGAATGGCTAGAAGAATTTCGACGCGGTCTGTGAGGGCCGCGGTAGCATAATTGGTCAGTGCATTCGCCCGGATTGCGAAGGGTGCGGGTTCGAGTCCCGTCTGCTGCCTGGTCCGCGTGGAATTTTTTCTAGTTATATTTTCTTTAGAAATTAAGTTGTATACAAGGCTTGCTACTAACTTTCTATTAAATAAAATGAACCTCACCTTTACCATTAAAGAAGAGATTCTTTCAGAGGTGTTGTAGAACTGAGAGATGCTGTGTATTAACCTCACTGTTTGCAGAAGGCTCAATATGGAATCCTTTATCTTCACTGGGTCGTCCAAGTACAGGGAGTGGCAGCACTTCTCCATCGCTTGGATGAACTTCGCGTTATCTTTGGCTTCATTGTAGCAGAACGTTATCTTATGGTCAGTATCCCGCCAAAGCTTGATGACTTTCGAATTGGCTAGCTGGAGAACCGTCAGTGTCATCTGTACTTCGTTGTCCTGGTAAAAGTTTCAATTTATTTTTACTATTTCAAACTTTTTGATTTTGACTGTGAGTACTCTATCCGAACGATGTTGTGGTGTGATGGATGAGAATAACTGGATCACAATTGTTTCATAGCATTCAGCTATGGAATTTAGAATTCATTTGTTCGTACTTGGTCGAATTCGCAAAAGGGCGGATTCTCATTTCGCCGGAACTGTCGTTGATGTAAATATTGAGGACTGAATGGATAATTATTTAAAAAGAAAAAGAATACTTAATACAAGGATTACAGTGAATTTGATAAAAACGACTTGTAAATTCTCCTGCGACTATATGCCACGATGTCTGATGTCGAGATTTGATCCGAATCAATGTGGACAAAACTAAATTTTCTTGATTTGATTTGAGATTGATTTGGGATCAAAATAAAACGTCCCACAAAGTTAATATTTGTATTTGTAACAACTTGGGAAAATCTAACAAGCAAAAATTTTGCAAAAGATGAATGGCAAGACCCGTGTAAATTTTGCGATGACACAAAGAAAATACTTCCCTGATCGTAAATGAAATTGGCGAAAGATAAATTTCCAAAAGTCTATAAACAAATCTTCCGATTATAAGTCTATAGATAGATTGTGGAGTAAATATCTACCTGTAAGTATGATACCAATTGCGAGAATTGAGCACCTCTCTTCTTCCAATACTCTAATTCATCCTGTGGGCCGCTAGAGTCTACTTCGCGTCGCAATTGTTCACTTTCACTTAAGATCTAAAGACAAGAAATAAATAATACACAGTAGAAAGATTACTCATTGTTCAGTATTCATTGTTTCTTTATTATACCATGAACTTTGTTAATTAAATAAATCTAAGCCGATTAGCATTCACATCAGGCAGGAGATTCCTATGCCAATTTAAAAATAGATTTTCGACTGCTTTTAGTAATAGGTTCCCTACTTTTCTAGGACCCCTAATCTTAATAAAATAAATAAAACACGAAACATATACTCTAAGTATTTATAAATGTAAAATGACAATAACGTCATGGTAAAAACACTTGCGTATGATGAAACTGAAAAAATATTGCAGGACATTAAATAATTTAGCTAATAGGTAACAATACATAATAATATACATAATGTAGTACAGTCCATACCATTCATATCATCTTATTATACGCAAAACTCACTAGCACACACCCACACACACACAAGCACGCACATACACACACACTGTTCACACTTTTCTGAATATATATGTCAGTTTCTTGGCTTTTCCATTTAATTTTGAATGAAATGGATTTATGATGCCATATGTGCTAAGGAGATTGGCGTTGTATGCCGTAATACAGTCATTTTGCCTAGCTCGGCAGCAGATAAATATGCAGTTATGTTAGAGATATTAGTACTGTTTTAGCCTTATAAGTTAAATTGTAAATCACCTCTTATTGGAAATAAATTATTATTATTATATTATCTTTGTGGCCTGTATAATGTAGTTAATACATTATACACGATAGATAAACACACTTTGAAAAGTTGATTAGATAAGATTAGTTATTCCACTTCTATATTAGCAAAACAGCAGGGTAAAAACTAAATATGAAAGATTCAAGTTCCACAAGAAAAGAAACCCGTATTACATATTTTAGAACATCATTCCTATTAAAACAAAAATAATTGGAAAGAAAATTATCTCTAAACAAAATTTAAGTTAAGTTTTCCTGTAAACGACGTCGAACGTAAATTAAGGAAATTAATAAGTTCATAAGTCTCTTCAGATACTAATGTTACCTTGTCTTACCTCCATAACTTTCTTTATCCATTCGCCCACACGATCTTCCAACATCGTTATAGTATTAATATTCTTTGTCATATCCTTCAGTTCACAGTGATCCTGCACCTTTTCCATCACGTGCAAGCCGTCATCGAATAGGTTTATTTGGTTGCACACTTCTTCACAAACTAAATGGGGTAAAAAGTTTGTTAGTATGTTTTCCCAGGGTATAAAATATTAATTAAGTTTAATATCATGAATGTCTTTTTATGTAAATAGATATAGAAAACAGAAACACAACACCAGCAAAAAGTGGTCATTGTGATCTAACCTAAGGCGGAAGTTACTTCAGCAAACGACTGTTAGTTAGATATTTCGCTCTAATTGGAGTGAAATCTCTGCTTTTATGCCCTACCTCTTTTGTAATCAAATCTTATTAAAGTAATGTTAACCAGCAACTTGTTTTTCTATAGAAAAAAACTCTCATGAGAACAAATATTTTGTAAGATTTAATGAAATGTTCATAATCGTGTGTTACCTTTTAAAGCGCTGCAAAAGGACCTCAGTCCTGGCAGCAGCTGATTTTTCACGATTGGAAACCTCGTTTCGTCTTCGTCACCATCGCTGCTCGGGTGCGCAAGTGCGCTCATGTACACATATTCCATCACCCTCTCAATAGCTGTCACCAAACCCACCTTCTCTGCGTTGAGGATACCGCAAAATCTGGTAGTTTAACAAAATGTTAGCACATTTCTTCTTAGAAATGCAATAGAATCGCATGATTACAATAAGTTATCAAACTAAATTAATGCTTTGGAAAGCTAAGTTAGTTTTAATAAAATGATTGTGATAACTTTTAAAGTTCAAGTGTTTCAATGAGATAAAGGCCAGATTTATTATGTCTCAATCTGTTTTAACCGCCTATAGATCGGTGTATCTCATAGACATGTTTATATATATTTATATAAATATATGTCATATAGTACCGTTCATCGCCGCCTTAATTCAAGCCGTTCAGTTTCCTTTGTATTTAATTCCAAGTATTCAATGCTGTAACATTACCCAGACATAACTTACAAATCAGCACCGTATCGTATCGCCTTGGAATCGAGTGTCCAATCTAACTCGCGGTGCACCCTCTAACGTCTCTATTACGTTCGGTTGACGGTTGCAGGCAGTGGAGATGACAGACGATACGGTGCCTGCACAAATCCTTTTAAAAGAAAAAAAAAACTTCTTACAAATCTTTATGGAATCCTTCTTCTGGTAACTGCTTGCTGACATTAATCCGGAACATATAAATGCATATGCCGGTGAATTTGACATCCCAGCCATCTGATAAGAACAGTTTCTTCTTAAGGGTGACCTGTGGCGGTGCCGGTTTTTGTCCCGAAGGCCTGGGCTTCGATGCTTCTGCTTGAGGCTTCTGCTCCACTTCCTCGACGTCTTGGTAGTACCAGAGCAGTTTGTTTCGCATGTGAGGCAGGAAAAGCTGATTGATGTCATCTAACTGTAAAAATCAAGTAAACGGAAAAACGTTTATAAGACCTAAGTGACAAAGTTCACAAGGCGGCAGACAATTTCAATCATAAACAACATAACAACGTAGTTTACTCCTTAAGAATCGATTTGCATATGTAAGGGGCCCGGTATGAGAAAATATGAGGAGTAAAATCTATCGATGAATGACATTATTGACCTCGTTACGTTTTTGTGCGCAACCTCATCTGCGCACCTTTCACTTTTAGCCATGGCAACGGATAAAAAACATTAAGTTGTCACAAATGTCAATAAAATAAATAAATTAAAAATAGATAAAATCGGAGCAAAATTAATGAAAACAAATAAATAACAGAATATAGAGAAATGCTAGTAAGTGTCCAGCACTCTGGAATAGTGATTTTCAGTACAGATGGAATTATAATACTTACATATTTACAAAATGATGACTAGTGTGTGATATTTTTGAAATTGTGTGTTTCCAGAAATACATAATAAAATATATGATGAATATCGCTGATGTTAGATGATAAAATGTGTGACATGGAACCTATGATAGTCGAAACCATGGGACTATTCCTGAGGTATCTCTACTTGTAACAGACTTCTTCAAAATTGATTTTGTTTTGTGTCTGTTCAAAGACAATCGTTTTTAGAGTGTAAACTCCGGTCGTGCGTCGGAGCTGACACACACAATTTTTTTTCTTCTATATTTTTAAGAGATAAACCCACCTAAATTAAATTCTGCCTTTATAAAGTATAAGTATGTGTGATGAGAGTGTAATTTACGCGCTTGCTGGCTGATTTATATATCACAGAGAAGAAAACCAGCTTTTTATGATCACTTTGTAATACACAATATACAGGAGGTATAGGTACGGCAAACTTAATGAGCAAATCCACTGATAAATAAACTTGCGCAGTAGACGTTTTGCTATGTAAAATTGCTACTGTGCAGGCATCCTCGTCTATAGTCGTTGCTCAGCAAGTTTGCCGGGAGGTATACCATGTTTCCTTCGAAGACGTGGTCCATAATGGCATGCCTCGGGAGCCCTGTGCCGTCGATGAGCAGCTGGAAGGTGAACTCCAGCCGGGGGTCCATCTCCCCGCGTCTCGCCTTGCGCTCGCATTCTTCCCGCCTTTTCTGAATACCGGATTAAAAAGCCCCACAAGTAGTATGTTGTTTTTCTATTTTTAAATTAACACCAAAATAATTAGCATCACCCCAAAGTGTGCTCTGTAAGGCTTGCTTGTATCAAAGGATACTAAGGTAACGGATAATTAATATATTATTTAAGAAATAGGTATATTATAAGCAACTACGACAAATACTCGTAGTATTTATGATACAAACATTTGCATTTGCCCCATCGGGATTCGAACCAAGGACCACTGACACCATGAAACTCGACGTACATACATACCACTCACACCACAGAAGTCATCAAAAAAAGATGTATGATACACTCATCGAAAATTACCTATAGTAACATAGTGATAGTACCTAACTCGTTTATCATAAATTATATTTAACATATTTTTGTACATTGTGGATATGCAATAAAGGAATTGAATTGAAAAATGCCTACAACAAGTACGCAACGCACGTAAGTAATATCGCCGTGCGTTAACTTGGGTAGTATTTGTTTCAATTTTACAAAAACTGCAAGCATTTTAAAGTTGTTGACTTAAACATATCGCACATATGTTTGGAAAAGTCGTAAATTAAAAAAAAAATAAGAAAATTAAAAGTAAAAAGCCAATTTGAAATCCTGGATTTGATAAATCTGTTTACTGGTTAATTTCTTCGAGAGAATTTCGGAACAACTGATTTTCCATACCTCACATTGTATTTTACATGAATTCTCCGTAAGTTGGAGTGCATCCTTGGAGAAGAAGCTTTGGTTGATCTTAGAGAACACTGCAGCCGTTAATTATCATTGTTTCGTCCAATATAAAAAAAATATGTTCAATATCAGTCTACTTTTTTGTAATATTGGAAAGAAAACGACAAGTAGTCTTATTTGTTTAGCTTCAGATGACATTATGCTTCTTATAAAATCTAAATTTTAATTTATAAAAAGCTTGATGTTACAGCCAAAGTAACAACATTTATTACTATTCAACTTTCAAAGATTTTTGGAAATTCTAATCAAATCCCATTTAAATTATGTGCTACACTTATTTGGAGACAATATTTTAAAAAATACTTAAATCATCTAAAGTGAATTTTACTAGAAAAATGCCATGCGGTCTTGGCAGCAGACGGGACTCAAACCCGCACCCTCGTCTATCCGGGCGGATAGTGGAGGGTGTTGGTTGCTGCTGGACCGCGTGGGCTTTTTCTAGTATTTTTTTTAGATATAGTATAGTTAAATGTAGCAGTTAAATACTTAAAATAAATAGTAAAGTATATTATTAGACTATATTATAATTGTTTATATTTACGAATTTAGCAAGTTTATCTTCATCCATCTTGTAACGGTACGTTTTATCGGAATCGTGTTATTACTACTAGATCTGGGCCACATTTGAGTCAATAGAGGGTAATGGAATTAATTGGTTACGACGAGTCTTGGAGTCGTACAGGTACCTAGAGTTATAATAAATAAGTAACATTACGAGATCTGCAGTCGTCATGCAATTAGAGTTCGGCGGTTGGTTTTCGATACCTGGAGGATATCCATGATATCTTCTTCTTCTTCCTCGCTAGATCCAGGTTTGAGTCCAGATACGAACATTGTGGAGGCAGTAAGAACTTCTCACTTTTTTTTTTGTTTTGCAGTCTTTTGCGCAGTTTGTATTAAATACTATTTTTCAGTTTCAAAACACACAGACGTGGATTCTTTTGTATAAAATGAATATATTGTTTTTTTTCTTTATTAATAAACTTACAATAGGCATTGACCGGAATTAGTTCGAAATTATAATATCTTTTTAATAAACGCATGAATTTTTAAAAATTCGCTACTTATAAAAAGAGTCTAGCAATAACTATAAAAACTATTTACTGTTTTTTTGAACTTTTTGCTTTGATAGCTTAAATTCTGTTTAATTTCTACAAACTTCGAAAAATCTATAAATACACGAAATAGTATCACTATTTCTTAAAATCACTATATTTCCATTATCCTTGTTCTATTATGCCTATTTATTGTTGGTTTTTTTTTAGAACTACTCACAATAAAACATTCACGTTATTACACGTTAAAAAAAATATATCAAGACACCTGTTAAATTGGACAAATTATTGAGTAATGCACTCTGTTAGCTATAGTTATTACTATTCTAAAAAAATGACTTTTTACGAGTAACAGAAAAAAGTATTTAATGTGCGTTATTTTCGATCACTCTCATTTGTCATTCGGATTTTAAATTTGTTCAAACGTGAAGAGTTGGCTCCATCGAAGTTGGCCTCCAACTACGTCCCGAAAGGCGACAAAGCTTATGTAAGTAAGAGGCAAAACTATTGTTGTAATAGAATATGCAAATTAGATCGGACCCTGAGGGTGTAATTTAAGGGAACGGGGTGGTACGGAGTCGCACTTGCTCATACCTCGTTCCGTTCGCGGCACGCAATGTTTCTTTGATTGATCGTGACTTTTAATGAAGCTAAGAATTTAAGTGATGGGATTTATTTAAAAAACATATTAGGTATTTGTTATTTTATTATAAACATAATTGGGTTATCAAAAAGTGCAAACAATTTCAAATCCATTCTAGATTTTTAAGAACTGGATAAAGTGATACTCGGATTAGGTTTGTTTGGCTGGATTAGTCCTAGAACAGTTTTCTTAACAGATTATCTGGTTAATAGCTTTTAAAAATAATGCATATCATATTAATTTAATACAAATATAAATTAGTCTCGGAGATGTAAAAATCCATCCTAGTTTAAGAATATCATTATAAGTAAGAATAGAATAAAAACTTGTAAAACCGATATTTGTGTTATCTAATATTCTTGTAAGATACAAACATAATTTTCTTTTTTATCAATACACTAGCTACGTCCACTTTAACTTTAGTTTTTTTTCCAGAATCCCACTGGAACCTAAAAGGTTTCTGTTTTTTTGGAAGTAATAAACTTTATATATGTGCCAAAGGACATGGCTAAGAAACTGCCCTTAATGTGTATAATTATTTTGTACTAGCCCGTAACTTTATAATATTTTTTTATTTATTACGTGTTTATAATTCTCATATAACTTTCGTAAAATAATCAAAAATATAAAAGTATTAAAATTGACTTCATGTCTGATTCAAAAGGAAAATGTTCCGTTTTACAAAAATAAATGAACTATAAATGTGTACTAAAAATATTTCTGTCAGTATATCGAAATAAACAATATTAATTTAAAACTCCCAAGAACTATGACATATTTGGCACTTGTTTTTTTTATTATAACAATTCACGGAAGGCCTAAAATAATAGATTTTATTTTTCTGATCAGGATTGAGAGAAGGCTGTATGATAATTAATGCTTTGATTTTTGCAAATGAAGAAAATAAAACTTCACAGATTTCATGTCAGGCCGACGACAACAAATGGGATTCCGTTCTCGCGAGTGTTGGTTAATACACGTATTTATGGGATTTTGACATTTTCGGCAGTTTAGTGGTGCTTTCTCCACAGTATAAGCCGTTTTATCTTACGTAGTGGTGGTAGTAAGTGTATCCTTGTGTTGTTTTTATTGGTAAGTAACACAATAACATCTTTTTTCCTACCCTTTCCATCGCTTGCGTCGTGAGCGATGGATAGGGTACCTCCAGACCCACCAGACCCACCAGATCCGCCGGATGAGGAGCGATCTCCGACTCCGATGGATCAGTCTCCCCCATTGTTCACGCAAACAGGCACTAAAAGACGTCTCGACCCAGAAGCAGAGGCCGAGCCTATTAGAAAAACTCTCATTACCGAATCACAACAATCACAAGAAGCCAATCATTCTCTGTATACCCACCCCTCTCTTAATGATGCACCTAAATTGTACTCGAATTTGGATAAAGGACCTTTTATTGTAAATGTATCAATTAATGAGGTCTCCCCCTCTGCTGGTTCTTCTATCCGACCTCTTATATTTGGCAGATTTTTGACAAAAAACAAAATTAAAAATATATAGTCCAGGCAACGAAAAGGTATAGAGGGAAATGCTTAGAACACATTTTTTGACTTCGTAACTTTGTTAGGACTAGTTAGGAGATAAACACATCAAAAGTCCCCGCCCGTAGCCCTTAAGCCGGGGGGAAGGGGGGGATTGAAGGTCCCATTTTTAGGTTTTTCGCATATATCTCGGAAACTATGCATCTTAGCGACATGAGACCTTGACAATAAAAATAAATAAATAAATACATGTGAAACGATAAAAAATTACAAAGATAAAGCGCGGCAACGTCTGGGAGCGAGGGTTCGTGACGTCACTTCTAAGTAAAAATTTAACCAAAATTTCAAAAAAAACGTAATGCGGCTTCTCAAATCAATATACGTATCTCTGTAATATTTTAATGAATTGAATAAATAAAAAATACGTGTCCAATACTATTTTGATAATCTATCTAATAGAAAACTTTTTTACCAAAATATAAAAACCGACTTCATAAAACAAAACCGTGCGGTGAAAGAATTCTCTCTGGCGGGGGCCAGAGAGTCTACGTGTGCCTCTACAGATCCCACACCGGCGATGTTGAGACAACTCGACTTTTTGAACACCTTAGTCGGGCAGGAGATGACGCGCAGGAGCGATTTCCCAATGCAGAATTGGTGTTTTTGGGGGACTTTAATGCTCACCACAATTTGTGGTTAAGTTCTTCCAAAACTGACCATGCAGGGATCTCTGCTCACACATTCGCTCTCACGCATGACTTGAAGCAACTGGTTGATCAGCCCACCAGGATCCCAGATATTCCAAGTCAAGCGCCTTCTTTACTGGACCTTCTGCTCACGACCCATCCACAGGGCTATCAGGTTGTGGTAAGAGCCCCCCTGGGCTCGTCCGACCACTGCCTGATATCTGCCAAAGCACCACAGGCCAAGCCTCCGCGTCCAGCAGTGGTCAAGCGCCGTATCTGGCATTATGGGTCGGCAGATTGGGACGGTATGCGTGATTACTTTGCGTCCGTCCCTTGGAAGCAGCGCTGCTTCAGTGACAGGGACCTATCGGGCAGTGCCGTTGCCATTACTGAGGAGATACAAAAAATTAGGGAAGCATTATTGACATGCCACCTAAAAGGAACAAACGTAGCCCTAGCCTGGATCCCTGGGCATAATGGTATTCCTGGCAACGAAACTGCGGATACTTGTGCTAAACACGCCATTTCTTCTGGCCTCCCGAAGTACTCCAGAGTCTCCTACCAGCACTTACATTCCGTAAAGCGCGAGCTTTTATTTAAATCATGGGAAACTCACTGGCTACAGACTAAGAATCGTGTTGGTAAATACTACTTCGATATACAGCAAAATATTCCATCCAAACCATGGTTTTCAAGGTGAAAAATCTTAATAAAAAAGTGGTCTCTACAATTTGTAGATTATGGAAAGGTCATGCCACTACCCCTGATCACTTGGCTAGGTTAAAAATACGTGACAGCCCCACATGTGATTGTGGAACCGAGGATGGTACAGTGGATCATCTTTTCTTTAACGGCCCCTAATTAAACATCTCTCTCTATGACATTTTACCTCCCACTATTCCTCGTCCTATAAGCATGAAAGTCCTACTATGTTTATGTGATTACTCAACCCTCAAGCTCTTGGCCAAATTTATTTCCCATAACAAACTAATATTATAACAAAAATCCTCGCGTTACTTGTTTTATGTTAGTGTTGTCCTGATTGTGACGTTTTTTTTTACAGGTAAAAGTGCTTACAAAATAGCTAACCAAAATTCTGATTTTTAACTGTCATTCCCTTACGTGTAATGGCTAATAGGGCTAGGGCTTTAAAAAACTCTCTAGGGGTAGGGCAGACCAAGACCACGGCGTGTCGGGGTTGACCAAGTCGGTTCTGAATTAAAGATTGTTGTAATTTTTACCGACGAAAACAGACTCCCTGGCGGATCTCAAAACAAACACAAAATTGCGATATATCTGCCATTTTAACAATAGTACCAACTTAACAAACATATTTTTACCATATACAACGAGAAACATGTTATTTTTGCATGAAAAAATGGCAGCACTGATCAAAATAGCTGTCAAAATTGACTTTAACCTACAAAAATATTATTTTTCAATATTTTTTTTCTCGAATTCTATTCGTTTCTGCGTAAAAAGCTGTCGTGCACGTGTTTCTAATATTAATACTTTACGTGACAAAAATTTCAGCTCGCAGCTCAACCACAGCTAATGGAAAGCTGAGCCTCAAAACGTGCCAGAGTTTTCGAATCTTTTTCAAACATGCGTTTATGTAATTAATAATAATAAATGATTACTTTAAGGACTACTGATACTTAATATCGTATCAGTAGTCCTTAAAATTATTAAGGAAACACTTATTTAATTTCCGTAATTGAATCTAATATAATTATAAAATTCTCGTGTCACGGTGTGCGTAATTAAACTACTCCGAAACGGCTTGACCGATTTTCGTGAAATTTTATATGCATTTTCAGTAGGTCTGAGAATCGCACAACATCTATTTTTCATCCCCCTAAATGTTAAGAATGGTCCACCCTTAACATTTTTTATTTGGACAATTTTTTTTATTTTTATTCTTGTATGAAACATCATACAAAAATACATA